TGTTGTAAAACAGGACTGACAGTGGGGTTGGGGGAGACTGAGAAAGATGGGATAAATTATGTATACTGCATTGAAACAGATGAGGGAGAAAACTGTTTAAAAGGGATATGTGATCAGGTATTGTTGTCATGACAGGAGTCTAGAACGAAGGCAGCATAGTGGAGTGGACCCGGGGAGAGGGAATGCATAACAATGAAAGAATTTTTACTTTTCAAAGAGAAGAGTGAACAGGGGTGCAAGGGGGGGCAGGGATAAAAGTGCAACAATGAATGAATGGGGGGGGTAAAAAAGAATGAGAAATATATCTCACCTTTTACTTGAATTAAAGGTGCATGAACTATTTTTTTTTTTTTTAAAAAAAAGAATATATCTGTCAAGAATAAACACCCAAGTTTGTGTAGTTACTGTTATTTACAAAGGTTTTATGTTATTTCACTAAATATATTTTTCTCATGAAGAGAATGTTGACGTTTATGTAACCATCATATGACCGCATCTCTTACCAACAATCTATCAAAATTCATGTATAATCCATACTAAATAAAAAGATTTCTATAAAAACTTTCAGGAATAGAAAATAATGATAAAAAAATATTGTTTCATTTGGAAGCAGGAGTGGCATCCACTTCCTAAACAACCTGCCTCTGGAAACTCTATGAACTTTGAGAAACAACCATAGCTATTGAAAGGCTTCAGGTCTTTATGAGCCATGGTGGACTCAATGGCAATCAACAATAACAATAAAAAGTTAATAAACAGTGGGCATCAACATCTCTCCAAGATTTTGACTACCTGTTGAGAGTGTAAAAAAATATTTTTTTTGCACTATCATTATCACTTCTTAGTCTAGTGTTGCTAGAAACAGTGAGTTCAATTCTATATAGTTCATCTGTAAAAGCACTAAATTCATACTCAGCTCTCCAATTACATTTTTTATTATATAATCAGAAACTTAAAAACAACAGTTTAAGAAAAACAGAAATCAATCCAGCTGACTAAAAAAACATAACAGAAGCTTGATGAGAAGAATATATATATAAAACACACATAACAACTGCTTTTCCTAATTGAAAATGATTCATCAGTCATTTTCCACTTTATCTTTATTTAGTACTTATTATCGTATGTCATATGGTCTTCCAGTGGGTTTTCAGAGGCAATTTAAATGCACGGGAGACAATTGCTCATGTGCTATACAGACTGCAGCACAGCTTCTTACCACTAGACGACCAGAGCTCTGAGGAGAAAGTCCAAATTAGCCCAGGTACAAAAGGCAACAGAAAAACCTTGAGACCAAATGAGGAAGGGTAGAAGCTGATCCTCAGCTGTCAAGCTCTCTAGCTGTTCCACTGCCAGTTACCAGCTGCCCACACTGTATGAGGGACCATGGGGCACAGCCATTCAGCCAAGCCCTTCCTGATCCCTGAGCCACAAGAACTGTGTTTAAAATAATTTTTACTGTTGTTTTAATCTGTGTTTGGGTGATTTGTTATGCACAAAGCAGTGATACTCAGAACACTTTGCTGTTGTTGTTATGTGCCGTCGAGTCGCCTGTGACTAATAGCGACCCTATGTACAACAGCCCTAAAC